GGGTAGAGGTTGAACGAGGGGAGGGGAGGGGGCGGTATTTTTTATTTTTTTTGGTGGACATGTTTTGTTATGAGTTTACGAGTTTACGTGTTTTAACACTTTGCACAAATAGGCCATTCCAAAGGTGGGTTTACACTGTGTTCTTTGATATGTAAGGAACAACAACAACAACAACAACAACAACAACAACAACAACAACAACAACAAAATAACAACAACATTAGTAGCAAAACCCAAAAGAACATCTACAACAACAGCAGCAACAACAACAACAACAACAGCAGCAGCAGTAGCAGCAACAACAACAGCAACAACAACAACAGCAACAACATCAACAACACAAAACCACCACCAACAACAACAACAAAATAATAACAACAACAACAATAACAACTACTATCAAAACAAGAACAACGCCAACAACAACAACAGCAGCATCAGCAGCAACACCAACAGCACACCACCACCACCAACAACAATAATAATGACAACAACAACAACAGCTACAACAACATCAAAAACATTAGTAGCAAAACCCAAAACATCTACAACAATAACAACAACAACAACAACAACAACAACAACAGCAGCAGCAGCACACCACCACGACCACCACCATCACCACCACCAACAATAACAACAACAACTACATGTACAACTGCAACAATAACAACGATAACAAAGATAATGATCAACAATAAGCAACGTTATAAGTGCCAGCAACAACAACAACAGTATTAATGTGAATCTCCCCAGGACGAGTACATCCAATTCAAAGAAGAAGATCGCGCAGAGAACCAGATCGCCTACTACCCGTGGGTCCCCTGGATTCTCTTCTCCATGGCTTTTGCGCTCAAACTTCCACACGTCATGTGGACCTCATTCCTGCCCAGCTCAGGCCTCAACCTCGGCAAGCTCGTGGATCTGGCAGACTCGCACGAGAACATCGATAATCTAGCCAAGATCATCCGCATCTGGTTGGTCCGGACTCACAGAGTGCAGAAAAATGTTTTGTCTAGGGTCAAGAAGATTCTCGGGAGCGTAGGTCTGTTTTGGATGGGCAAAAATAGTCGGACGTACTTAACCGGTCTCACGATCGGGGTGAAATGGGCGTATCTTTTAGTCACCATCGGATTGTTTTTCTCTCTCAATCTGTTCATTCAAGAGGAGTTCATTTCGTACGGTTTTGAGGTTCTGGACGGCTTTCTCAGAGGAATACCCCGGGAGTCAGTGACTTTTCCGAAAAACACAATTTGTGACTTTAAGATTCGCCAGCTGGCAAACATTCACACGTACAGCATTCAGTGTGTTCTGCCCATCAACATGTACAACGAGTATATCTTCATCTTCCTCTGGTTTTGGCTGGTGCTTCTGTGTGTGGTCAACACCTACAGCCTCATCAAGTGGAATTTTTATTTGCTGTCTCCTGGACAGCGGAGGGAATTCGTCAAGGGTTACGCAGCCATTGTTTTCCGACTGCTCCAAGAGGCGCAGAAACCCCCGGATGTCGATACAAACGGGAATTCCCTCTCCTCCGCTCCAGCCAACGATGCCACGCCCATTCTAAACGGAGCTTCCCCTTCCGGAGACAACAATGGCGTCCCCCGAGAGAGACGGCGGCTTCGGTTTGACTCGATAGTATCTGTGACGTCATCAGGCGGCACTGACGTCCGAGCGGCCCCGCCCTCGCAGATAGAAGAAGATCCGAAGGAGGCGAGGCGGAGACAAGATGAGAGGCAAATTGACCGCATCACTAATAGGATGATCAAACATTTCGGACATGACGGCGTGGTGGTCTTCAGGACCTTGGAGTCCGGCGTTGGCGTAATCATTGCCAACCAGATTTTCCAGGAACTGTACCTGCAAATCACACACGCCATGCACTATCTGTGACCCCGAGTGTGCGACAAGAGAAAATGACGGAGTTGCAATTTATTTTGCCGAAGACGTTAGTGACGAGTGTGAATAGGTCATAATATGAATGGGATTAGGAGGGCGAGGAGGAGGATGAATAGAAGGAAGAGGAGAAGGAAAAGAAGAAGAAGAATAAAGAGGGGTAGGAGGAGAAAGAGGTGGGAGGAGGAGGAGGAGGAGGAGGAGG